AGCCAATACCTTTTATATTTTCTACTAGGGATGTCCCGATCACCTTTTTTTGCTCCCGACCCGATTCCGATCATTTGATTTTGACAATTTGCCGATACCGATTTTTCCCAATCCGATCTTTATGCAATGCATTAAGAGGAAAAAAAGCATTCAAATTGTCCCTTAAGGTTATTTTTTTATTTAAATTGGATATTCTATCCAACATGGATATAGCTTCTTTTTTTCACAGCAGCATTGGATCAGTTCAGTTGTGCAGAGTTGGATCAAAACAAAATAAAGCTTATCAGTACTTGTTAGCTTACTGCTACAATTAGACACTGCACCCTGCCCACTCTGTTGCCAGATTTGAGAGAAATAAGCAACCAGGTCTATGAAAACAAGCCTCAAAGAAGCAACACATACATGATGTTCTGTAATTTGAAACCAAAACTAAGGCCTCAGGATGACTTTAAGACTTGAACATGGTCATTTTTGTTTTGTAACATTGAATACAACATTTAAAAAAAGTATTTTTAAAAAAAAAGGGAAAAAAATCCCGATCCCCGATTTTTTTCTCCCGATTCCGATCTTTTGAAAATCACGTGATCGGCTCCGATCCCCGATCACGTGATCGGATCGGGACATCTCTATTTTCTACTCTTCACTTACTTGTCAGCATAGGTCGGCATTGATGTACAGAGCCGACAGAAGACCTTGTTTATATTGGCATCATATTGAGAGGTGCAGTGACGGGGTGTCTAAATAGTGCTTCCGGGCCAGCGGGCCAATTATAATGTTGAGCCCTGAAATGGATTCCATACCAGTCTTTTCAATAAGACAATTTGTTTTTATATAGTCACATTTCTTAAATACATACTATTTTTCTATCAAATTCTTGAGGCAGAAATGATTTTGTATTTTGTGCCTGGTGTAGTTATCTGGAACATTTTAAATCAATTTAGTGAGGAAGTTTATGCTTGGTAACAATATATTTTTGAAAAATATATTTTCACTTATGAACAATTTATTCATAACTCATTCTGGACTCGCTGTGTTTATTGTCTCTCACTTTGTCCCCCGTCTCCCCCTCTCAGGGCACGGTGTCAGTCCTGCTGCCTCACGGCATGATGGTGAATGTGTCTGACCACATCAAAGGCCTGGTGCCCCGCACACACCTTTCCGACATCCTGCTGAAGAACCCAGAGAAGAAGTACATAGAGGGCATGAAGATCAAATGTCGGGTCAGTGAAGAATCCAAAAGAGAAATTCTCTAACCTACAGATTCACCTGTCATTTTGAATATTTGTTTTATTCCGCTGTGTTTGTGTGATGATGTTCCTCCAGGTGCTCTCCGTGGACGCAGAGAATAAGAAGCTGTGCCTGACCAGGAAGAAGGCCCTGGTGGAGAGCCCCCTGCCGCTGTTCCTCAGCTTCAGCGATGCACGTCCCGGCCGCGTCTCCCACGGCTACATCGTCTGCATCAAAGACTTTGGCTGCATCATGCGTTTCTACAACAACGTGAAGGGCCTGGTGCCGACCAACGAGCTCAGCTCGGAGCCCATCGTCAACCCGCAGGAGGTCTTCTACGTGGGGCAGGTGAGGAGGATTATCTCGGTCAAAATGATCCGCCAACTTTTCTCTGTCTTTTGTTCAGGATGTTGGAACCATTATGAATTATCCTCTTTTTTTGCCGGTTGCATTTGGCATATGAGGGCTTGTTGTCACGCACATAGCGGTACAGACCATAACGTCACAGCCACACAAACAGGAAGTGAATACAAATTTAGAGCCCATCAAAACAATTTTTATTTTAGTTAGCGTTTGATTTAGTATAGATTTTCTTTTTCACCACCAGATGGAATCCTTAAATCTTCATTATATTGGCCCAGGCTTATGGGATACATATTTGATATAAATGATATTAGGTTTATAAATGCCAGAGTGGGATATACTGCACATTACTTTCAGTTTGATTTTATTTGTCAAGTAAGTTGAAACATTTAATTAGAAGATCTGTTTAGTTTAGAAAGATGTCTGTAACTGAATACAGTTTTGGAGATTTTAATTTAAACATTTTTAAAGTCAATTTTTGTGAACATATCGTTACATCTCCAATTTAAATGAGAAAAATGTGAGCTGGCAGTTGTAGTTCTTAGAAAAAATAAGAAAGTCGGAATCTGTAGGTCAGACTTAAAAAAATAAATGAAATTGGCCACATTTTCAAAATCAATGCATCTAAGTGTTAACCAACCTTTGGCTGTCAATTACTCATTTCCTTTTTTTGTTTCCCATTGATTTCCCAGGTGTTAAAGGCTAAAGTTCTCAATTGCGACCCCGCTAAGGAGAAGATGGCGCTGTCCTTTAAGGCGGCAGTGGAGGGAGACAAAGAGGAAGCCCCCCAGCCCCAGTTTGACTGTGAGGTGGGGACGGTGAGTCCAAGACCTTGTCTCTCTGGGTTTTTAAAATCTTATCTTATCAAATGTTGTCCTCAACCTGTGTATTTGTATGATGTAGAAACTGGAGGCCAAGGTGCTGAAAAAGTTAGTCAACGGTCTGGAGGTCGCCATCCTCCCTGACGAAAACCGTGCCATGCTACCCACAATGCACCTTTCCGATCACATGTCCAACTGCCCTCTGCTGTGGGAGAGCCTGCAGGAGGGAGACAACATCTCAAACATCGTCTGCTCCAGCAAGACCAAAGAGCATGTTGTATCCTTTCTGTCAAAACATCACAAAGTAGAGTTTGTGTGATTAGTTCTGTACAGTGTGAAATGTGTTGCTACCCTTTGGTAAGAAAGGAACATCTTCCCAGTTTTCCTGAGCTGCTCCTCTTTAAAGATCGTCAGCAAGAAGCCAACAGTGCGATGGTCTCTGGAGGAAGGCGTGGTGGCCAAGGACTTCTCTGAGATCACAGTAGGAATGCAGCTGGTCGGTTGGATCAAGAACATCATGTCGTACGGCGTCTTCGTGGAGTTCCCTTACGGCCTCTTTGGGCTCGCACCCAAGTCGGTGAGTAAAGGGTTTCTAGCCGGAAAAATGCTTTTACTGTCTTTCCAATAACCTCATGTTAAAGAGCCTGTGACACGAACCCAACAACTGTTGTGCAATGAAATAGTGGGCTACTGGTAATCTCGAACCGTCAGTTTAAAAAAGAAAAAGCGATACCGTTCCGATAAATATCAATAATTTCGAACATCGCGGGAAAATTCCTTCGACTCGTTTTGGGGGAAGCCGGAAGTGACGTCAATGCGGGAACGCTTCACTGTGCGGCGAGAGAGCCAAACACGGACAAAGTGTGTCGTCATGCGTAGAAATGGTGAATTACTGAGTTTAGGCACGTTAATAACGTTTTAATGAAGTTGACTACAGTATATTCATATTTGTCAGTGCTTTCATGTCAATTCGGCGAACATAAACATAAATGATCGTGGTGAAGATGATGATTAAATTAGGATTAAAAATCGGTAGTGAGAGCTGCTGAATTTCCTCCCGTCGGATGTGATATAAAAACAAATCGATTATTTTTGTAAACTCAAGTGGATGAAACTACATTTATTAGTGCTTTCATGTCAATTCGACGAACATATGATACATTAAATGATCGTGAGGATGATGATTTAAAAATCTTTTGTTTGAGCCGGTCTGCATTTCCTGATGAGAAAACAAACCTTAGCTTTTTGTAGTTGCAGTCAGTGGTGTAGTGGGCGTTGGACGCGGGGGTACGCCGTACCCCCACTTATTTGAAGCATGATTTCTTTTTTTAATAGTCTAATACACTACATCAAAACCATTGCAGGTACAAGCGGCCATAGTGTCTCCC